ATCTCTCCACTGTATACCCAGAGCTCCCCTTGTCTGCTTTTACCATTATGTAATATGCCACATGGCTGTCACATGTATAGTATATAGGCTGGGGACTCCCCTTGGAGCTCCCCAGCGTGTTATTGTCAAATCTTATCTGGAAACTCTTCCAACCTGGCTTGGTCCCTGTTAGTACAGTCTACTTGTACTTGCTAACAGGGCCTGACACATCTCACCTGTTATATATTTCCTCTTTATCTGTTTCCCTCAACTCTGTTTCCTTCACCTCTGTTTCACTCAACTCTGTTTCTCTTCTCTGTCTCACCTCTCTGAACACCTCTCAGAACTTCCTGAGCCTCTCCTATGACTTACAGTCTACGTTGAGGCTCCACACCCCCAACCACCTCCATCCTCACCAACTACACTTCCTTCCCCCACTCCAGGACCTTTGGCTAGGTCCATCCAAGCTCTGCAACCACCACTGGTCAGGCTCCCTACACCAGTAGCGGCACTTATCCCACCTCCCCTTGTATGGCCTAGGCAGCTGTCCTGCTTGCTTAGGCCCAGTCCAGATAGGATGAGAGCAGGCCTCACAAGAAGAAGAAAACCAGGAGCAGCCAAGTCAGAGCGGCAGTAACACCGACGACAGGGAGCGGACCAAAGGACTTTATCAGTTCTAGGGTCAGAGTAAGAAGTACTTCAAGGTGACCAGCCTAAAGACTAGAGAGTGACAAGAGTACAGAGGAAGTCTCAAGTCAAGGACGTTAAGAGGATAATCTAAGTTGATAATTAAACTGAGGAACTACAGTATCATACAGGCAGTATTTATATCTACGGATCGGTGCATTGGGGCGGAGTGCCAGACTAACTACTAGGAGCTATATATGTAGTACCTGCAGGGTAGGGAATAAGACAATAAAGGAAAGGATAAAACAATAAGGGAGAGCCTAAGCAGAAAGGGAATGTGTAGTGAGAAAGAACAATAAACGGTAGATCTCAGAATACCAAGTAGTGGAATGGGGCACCGAGGCATGGACTTGACAGTATCTCCCTCTTAGGCTTGAGCCCTTGAAAGCCGATAAGACTGTGAGACCGAAAAGACCGAAATTGATCCCATCAATAATTACTAGTCAAGGAAAATTTTCTGTCACCATAAACTGAACACAACCTGAAGAAAAATTTTCGCTGGTCCATGCGCCATTTTGTCCCTATAAAAGGGCCAGGGTTTTGCCGCTATGGGCCTAACTTTCCTCGACAAAGTTTTAAGTCCAGAAGATGTCTGCTAGCCGTACAACAACTACCACCATCTCCCTACCGCCGGCCCTTCGAGGTCATGTCTGTAAGACCTAAGTCAGAATAGGTCTTAGGGTAGGTTTTGGTATAAGGAGTTTATGTTGTAGCGTGCTAGGAGCAGGCTGGAGCTCGAAGGGAGCTACGGAAACCGCGACCGAGGACAGGAATGACCTAGTAGTGGCTGGGTTAGAGAGATGTGACCCTTGAAGGGGTTCCTGTAAGGTCCAGGGAGGTCCCTAAGGCATAGGTAGGAGAGGTAGAGGTATGGAACCTAGTAGCGTTGTGTAGAAGGAGTTGTACTTGCTAGAACGTCAACGTAAGATGGAATAAGTCGTAGGGAGAATGGGTCTTGAGTGTATAAGCTCCTGAGAAGATATACGCCTGGGAGGGGAGGTCCCGGGAACTGGGGCTTAGAGGTGGACGTCCTCGAGGGTTGGAGGTGGTAACGGAGAAGCTGCACGTAGTTCGATGTAGGGGGTAGCTTCGACATTACCTAGATCGAGGTCCCAGAGCTTGTGGAGCAATTGGGGAGCTCGAGGAGGTTTTTGGGGAGGTTAGCTCACCAAGGCGTTAGGCATTGGGGAGCTTTAGTATTGTTTGAGGGAGCTCGGAGACTCACTCGGGTTGCTTAGACATGAAGTAAAATCATATATTGGATCGTGTAGACAATCACAGAGACAATAGAGAAGAGTAGAGAGAAACTGAGATAAAGAAACAGAGAGTAAAGGAAATCCGTATGGTTAGCAGGTACAAAGGGACAGGGACTGGACCTATGCAAAAGGGTGTGTGTTCAAAATATACCAAGCTGGGGCTTGGGGACATGTCAGAGCTACTTAAATAGGTACAGGAAGTGAACAAGGGGACATCAGGGGCCATGAGGCAGGTAATCGAGATTAGTACCTTAATGGGGTAGGTGTAGGAGGGCTTCTTACGCGTGTCGGGGAAGGTTTAGGAGCTACGCGTGTCAAGGGAGGGAAGGTGGTACTGAAGATGGTACTGTCTTGGGGAGGTACGGAGGTGGATCGGGAGTGCAGAGGTGTGAGAGCGTATGGCTGATACTGGGGCTGTCCTGGTAGTCACCAGGGCATGAAAACAAAGAAGGGAGCTATGGCTAACGGTCGAGGCATGACAATGTCCTGCACCACCGCCACCTGCCAATCCCACTGTCCACAAGGAGGAAGGTCTGGAGGATGAGGATGAAGACGACATCATCAGGAGGGCGCAAGAACGAGTTAAGAAGGTGAGAGAGAGGAAGGTGGCAGAGGCAGCGAGGAAGGAAGCAGAGGAGAAGGCTGCAAGGGTGGCAGCGCAAGAGGCACGGGAGTGGGCACAACAGCAAGAGGAGGAGGCTGTTGGCCGCAGCGGTGACAGCAAGAAGTCAAAGGGGGATTTCTCCCAGCAAGACGTCTGCTTCTCCGAGGAGGCCTGTCGTAGAGATCAGGAGAATGGCAAAGAGCAAGGGAAAGGCCAAGGCCCAGGTACATGATAATACCTTGTTGATTTCTTCACTCCTAACTCTTCTACTTATCCTGTTGGTGGGGACCCCAATGATGGCAATGATGACAAAGAAAGGACTTCTTGTGAACGATGCAGGAGTAAGAAGATCTCTTGTCAGATGCAGGCTGGCAAGAGGAGTTCCATCATATGCAAACCCTGTCATGACACGAAGGTACAGTGCTTGTACTCCGGGCAGCCTGCCATGCCCTGGCTACAAACAGGACAGTTCCAGTACCAGCCACATACTCACACACTTCCCCAAGACAGCACCACCCTTCCCCTGCTTCCCATTAAACCAAACATCCTGATGACTTCCCCGACATGCGTAGCTCCCCCGACATGTGTAAGAAACCCTCCTACCACCAACCCCATTAGGTACTAATCTCAATTACCTGCTGTTACAATCACTTCTTTTTCATCTTATCTTTTTCCTTATCCCTTGTCTTATCTTTTATCTTTTGTCTTATTGTCATGCCCTGGCTACAACCAGTCCAGTCCCAGTAACCACCACACGTTGCCATACGTCCTACCCACCTCCTGTATGTCCTCCGCACCTCCCCAAGTACCACCAGACACCTCCCCAAGTATTTCTGACGCAACTACCCAAACGTCCTTCACCCCGACATGCGTACGAAAGCCCTCTAGCCGATAACCCCTTTAAGTATTAATCTCGATTACCTCCCTCCCTCCGATTAGCTACCTCATGCCTCCAGATGTTCTCTTGTTCACTTCCCGTACCTATTTAAGTAACGCCGCAATGTCCTGAAGCCCCAGCTTGGTATATTTTGAACACACACCCTTTTGCATAGGTCCAGTCCCTGTCCCTTTGTACCTGCTAACCATACGGATTTCTCTTTACTCTCTGTTTCTCTACCTCTGTTTCTCTCTACTTCTGTCTACTGTCTCTCTGATCGTCTATACGATCGAATATATGATTTCACTTCAAGTCTAAGCCTTCCGAGTGAGTCTCCGAGCTCCCTCGAACATTACTAAAGCTCCCCAACGCCTACCCGCTTTGGTGAGCTACCCTTCCCCAAACCTCCCAGAGCTCCCTAGCTACTTCGTAAGCTTCGGGACCTCGATCTAGGTAACATCGAAGCTACCCCTCACGTCGAACTACGTATTGCTTCTCCGTTACCACCTCCCACACTCGAGGACGTCCATCCTCAAGCCCAGCCCCCAGGGACCTACCCTCCCTGGCATATCCCTTCTCGGGAGCTTACACTCTCGAGACCCAGTTGCATATACGACCTACTCGATCCTATATTGACGTTCTAGCGAGTACAACTCCTACTACGCAATACCGTACGGTCCCGCACTCTTCCTTAACCTCCCTACGCCTTAGGGACCTCCCTGGACCTCCTAGGAACCCCCTCAAGGGTCATCATTTCGTCGTTCCAGGCACTACTAGGTCATTCCCGTTCTCGGTCGCGGTTCTCGTAGCTCCCTTCGAGCTCCAGCCTGCTCCTAGCACGCTACAACATAAAACTTCATATACCAAACCTACCCTAAGACCTATTTTGACCCAGGTCTTACACTTATCTTCTATCTCCCTTATCCTATATCTTGTCTTATCTTGTCACCTGACCTATTATTCATGCTTACTGATACAACATGCGCTTTTCATTGACTTGTATTAAATACAGCAGTCTTACAACACATATACAGCATGATGATCAAGCTTTCATTACTTACACATTGCTTTACTTATGTAATACTCATGTTTACCACCAACCCAGGGCATTGGGCATTACTAGGGCGGAGGGTTGTTTACTCGTATATAAGCTGTAGTTACTTGCTGTATTTTCTTAGCTTTGATCTCGTCTATTCTACCTGGTTTAGCCCAGAACTCTGCTTGCCTCCTTTATCGTTCCACCACCTAAGGTTTTTTTGAGTGTGACACCTGGTGACACCTGTTACTAGAACCAGTCGCTGACACCTGCCTCATGTTCTCTGGACCCTAATGTTCCCTTGTTCGCTTCCCCCTTACCTATTTAAGTAGTATCGCAACGTCCCCAAGCCCCAGCTTGGTATATTTTGAACACACACCCTTTACATAGGTCCAGTCTCTGTCCCTTTGTACCTGCTACCTATATGGAATTCTCTTTACTCACTGTTTTGCTATCTCTGTTTCTCTATTCTTGTCTCTTGTCTCTATGATTGTCTATACCATCCAATACACACTGTTACTTCACATCTAAGCAACCCGAGTAAGTCTTCGAGCTCCCCCAATGTCTATTGTTGTGGTGAGCCAACCTCCCCCAAACCTCCTTGACCTCCCCAATTGCTCCACAAGCTCTGGGACCTCGACCTAGGTAACATCAAAGCTACCCCTTACATCGAACTACGTGTCGCTTCTCCATTACTACCTCCACCACTCAAGGATGCCAACCACTACCCCCCACTTCCCGGGACCTCCTTCCCGGGCTTATACTCCATCGGGAGCTCTCATGTTCAAAACCTACGTCAACTACGATCTACAAACGATCCTACGTTGATGTCCTTAGCTAGTACAACCCATACTACGCTACGCCCTTCCATCTACTAGTTCCTGTTACATCCACCTCCTACCGTTAACATCCTAGGGACTTCCCAGAACCTCTTTAAGGGTCATTCTGTCAAGTCCATGCCACGGGCCTCCATTCCGCCGCTCGGTATTCCGAAGATCTGCTCTTATTGTAATCTCTTCCTATTGTTCTTTCTCGCTACACATATCCTTTCGTTCTAGTCTCTCATTATTGTCTTTTACTCTTTCGTGCTAGTCTCTCCTTATTGTCTTTTACTCTACCCTGCAGGTACTACTCGTATAGCTCCTAGTAGTTAGTCTAGCGCTCCGCACCGATGCGCCGTTCCGTAGATATAAATACTGCCTGTACGCTACTGTAGTTCCTCAGTTTAATTATCAACTTAGATCAACTTAGATCTCCCTTCTCAACTGAGCTCTTCTCTAAGTCTTCTGGCTCAACGCCTTGAAGTACGTCCTCCTTGACCTTAGGACTTTAACGTCCTCTGGTCCGCTCCTCGTCATCGGCGATACCGCCGCTCCGACCTGGCTGCTACTTAGCTCCTCTCTCTCTACTCTCGCTCTCCGGGGACTAACGGCGTAACGGCGGTGTTGTTAATAGCTTCACTACTGTCCCACTCGTCTTCCGCACTTAGACACCCTGTGGCCTTGGCACGGTTACACGGTGTACATGATCTTAACAGTATAATTAAACTCAATCCGTTAACGTCGTACTGACATATCATTTTTTATGCCTCCGAAAACTCGAGCTCAATCTAGAGCTAATTCCGAAGAAAACACTTTCTTCACTACAGCCCAATCATTTGCCCCATTCTCCGACTCTATCTCTGCAATTGGTAAACCACGTCGCCGTAATCGCGGTTTCGGTCCAGCCACAGTTCCTACTACGTCGACTCTTCCTGAAGCCATGGAAGAAGAACAACAATTTGAGTACAGCACCTTGTATACTGGTGACGGACAACCTGTCCAAGTCCTGACTCCTCGCCGTGGACAACCCCCCGTGGTCGCTCCGGCTCGGGGCCGGTCTACTACTCGAATTGATTCCCCAATCCTCCAAGCCATAGCCCGCCGTACGGGTAAACAACCCCAACGTCGCGCTGCTTCTGAATCTCCTCGTGACCCACCTCCTCACTTCGATTTGGACACTGGTGATCACGATGATCAAGGCCCTCCTGTCGACCCCGACGATCCGGGCGCCGATAATAACAACAACGATCTGGATGACGATTCCGGCGGTTTACCGCGTGGTGAACCTGGTGACCCCAGTGGACCTGGTGGACCTGGTGGTCCCGGCGGTCCCGGCGGTCCTGGTGGACCTGGTGGACCTCGTTCTCCCATATCTCCTGACATCCCCAACGAGCAACGTGCTATGTTGGAACTCCTCTCGGGGTTCAAGGGTTCCATTGAGACCCTTGGTACCGTCCTCGCCGCTCTCGGCCGCCCTTCTGACAGCTCTGAATCCAAGAGCAAGGTCAAGGAGCCAGAGGTCTTCGACGGTTCGGACCCCCGAAAACTCAAGACGTTCTTCGTCAATCTCGCCCTGGTCTTTAATGACCGTCCAAAGTACTTCACCGACCAACGGAAGGTGAACTATACCCTTTCCTATCTCAGTGGGTCAGCCAAAGAATGGTTTGTCCCTGATATCCTCGATCCGGATCTCGACTCGCTGCCGGCCTGGACGTCCTCCTTCAAGGCCCTGGTAAAGGAGCTTCAGGACAATTTCGGCGTTTACGACGCCCAAGGCGAGGCCGAAGATTCTCTCGGTAATCTGAAGATGAAGGAAACCGAGAACATCCGGAAATACAATATCCGGTTCAACACCCTGGCTGCTAGTACCAACTGGGATTCTGCTGCCCTGAAATGGGCTTATGGACGAGGCTTAGCTGAACGCATCAAGGACGAAATGGCGCGTTTGCCCGAGCCGGCGACTCTCGCCGATTATCGTCAAGAAGTTCTTCGTATTGACAATCGTTATTGGAAACGCGAGGAAACTAGAAAGCGTGAGGCTGGTAAGCCTTTTGTTGCTCGGAACCCGAAGAAGGGTTCCTCGGACTTTAAGACTGGTTCTACTAACCAGCAAAACAACTCTCAGCCATCTGGCTCTTCGGCGCCGTTCACGCCGAAGCCTAAACCCTTCTCTGGTGGTAAGCCTAACACCAATGGTAAGCCCCAGAACTCTTCGAATTCCGGCCAATCCGGCGGTCAGCGCCCCGCGTTCAACCATCTTGGTGCAGATGGGAAAGTCCTTCCCTCTGAGAAGGAAAGAAGGATGAAGAACAACCTTTGTCTCTTCTGCGGTGGTAAGCATCAGATTGCCGACTGCAACAAGCGAAAGGCCCGAGAATCGAAGGGCCGCGCTGCCGAGGTTGAAGAAACCCCCGAAGCAACCATTGAGGTTGTTGAAGAGGATTCGGAAAACTAATCCGCAGCTCTTGTTCCCCGGTACGAAACGGGAGCTGCGTTGATCAGGTTCGTACCTCACCTGGGGAGTTATATCTCAACGCGTCCGCTCTTTCTTCCATTGAACGCTCTCTTGTAATTTCGTTAACTACTGAATTCTCGTTATCCGATTCGGCCGCGCCGGCCGAACCCATCTCTGCTCTTCTCAAATTTCCTACTCTTGTTGATTCTGGTTCTACTGACTCTTTCATCGATACTCGTTATGTTTCTCAGAACTCTATTCCTACGACCAAAATTTCTCCTGTTAATCTTCGTCTCTTTGATGGTTCATTGTCTTCTAAACCCATTACCGATATGGCGAATATCGCCGTTCGGTTCCCTTCCGGCGAGCTGCTTCTATTACCCTTTTATGTTACACATTTAGATTCATCCTGTAAAGCAGTATTAGGTTACAGTTTCTTATCCCGCTACAATCCGTTGATTGACTGGGCATCTCGAAACATTACGTTCCGTAACACTTCACATCTTGATTCTCCACAGACGTCTGTGCCTTCTGCCGTCAACACTGTTGATGCAAAGGTCGCTGTTCCGCTACCGGAACTTCCGCCGTCGGTTTCACCGACAATTCTGGAGACCCCTCCTGGGGACTCACCTCGCTCTCGCTCTCGCTCCCGCTCTCGGACTTTACGGGCCAAGCCCCTTTCGTCCAAATTCCCCTACGAACCCATCTATTCTTACCCTACGGTCTCTCAATTCGCTGCTCAACTGGAAACTCCCGACATTGCACTTGTCAGTGCTGCAGTCTTTAACAGGGCTTGCAAGGACGCTGGTATGGAACCCATCTTACTTCGTGCTATCCACTCAGAGGTCGCGGCCCGCGCCGCCGACCGCTCTTCCACCACTCCTACTGTCCCTCCACTCCATCCTTCTATCCCAGAAGAGTACGCGGAGTTTGCAGACGTCTTCGACGAGATTGCTGCAGATTCACTTCCTGAACACAGACCTTACGACCTGAAGATTGACTTGGAAGAGGGCGCTTCGCCGCCTCTCGGCCGTATTTATCCTTTGTCTGAAAAGGAGCTAGTCGCCCTTAAAGACTTTATTGACAAACAGCTGGCTACTGGTGCCATTACCCCATCATCCTCTCCTCACGGCGCTCCGGTCCTTTTTGTCCCGAAGAAAGACGGCAAACTTCGCCTTTGCGTCGATTTCCGTGGACTCAATCGTATCACCAAAAAGGATCGTTACCCACTTCCACTCATTTCAGATCTTCTCGACGCTCCGAAAAGAGCTAAAATATACACCAAATTGGATCTCGCTCACGCTTATCATCTAGTCAGAATCGCTGAAGGTGACGAATGGAAAACCACCTTTCGGACCCGCTACGGCTCTTACGAATGGAAGGTCATGCCGTTCGGCCTTACGAACGCCCCTGCGGCTTTCCAGCGGTTTGTTAATGACATCTTCTCTGACATGCTCGATGTCTGCGTCATCGTCTATCTTGACGATATTCTGATCTACTCTGATACACCAGAAGAACACCGAGAACACGTTAAGGAAGTTCTTCAGCGGTTACGGAAACATCGGCTTTACGCGAACCCCGAGAAGTGCGAATTCAATATGGATACTGTTGAGTATTTGGGTTATATTCTTTCTCCCGACGGATTGACTATGTCCAAGGAGAAAGTTCAGACAGTTCTAGAGTGGCCGGTCCCGAGGAAGGTTAAGGACATCCAGTCCTTCCTGGGTTTTGCAAACTTCTATCGTCGTTTTATTTATAATTATAGTGATATCGTTGTGCCGATGACTCGGCTTACCCGAAAAGGCGCTTCCTGGATCTGGGACAGCAGCTGTCAAGAGGCCTTCGAAAATCTCAAAATCGCTTTCACTTCTGCGCCGATACTGGCCCATTGGGAGCCGAATCGCCCACTTATCGTGGAGACCGACGCTTCCGATTACGCCATTGCGGCTATTCTTTCCATCCAATATGCTGACGGTGAAATTCATCCTCTAGCCTTCCTTTCCAGAACGCTTCATGCGGCGGAACTCAACTACGATACCCACGACAAAGAGCTACTGGCCATCTTCGAGGCCTTTAAAGCTTGGCGTCATTATCTGGAAGGTTCGGGTGATCCGGTGGACGTCGTCACCGATCACAAGAATCTTGAGTATTTCTCTACTACCAAGGTTCTTACACGCCGACAGGTCCGATGGTCTGAATTTTTACATCAATTTAATATGGTCATTCGCTTCCGACCGGGGAAACTCGGCGAGAAACCTGATTCGATAACTAGACGCTGGGACGTCTACCCTAAAGAGGGGGATATCGGCTACGCCCAAGTGAACCCTCATAACTTTCGTCCTATCTTTACTAACGAACAACTCACTGCGTCTCTTCGAGCTACCTTTCTGGAAGGTCCGGCTTTACGAGCCTCGATTATCATGGATATCGAAGCTTTACACCAAGCTATCATTCTCGCCCTTCCCGCCGATCCGAGCTCCGTTGCTGGTTTGGAACTTGCAAAAGATCCTTCCAATGAACGTTGGAGCTTAGGTAGCGACAAGCTACTACGCCTTGACGACCGTATTTATGTTCCTAATCACGGCGATCTTCGCCTTCAAGT